TTTCTTTATCCATTCGTCCATCGATGGACACTTAAGTTGTTTCCATATCTTGGCTATTGTAAATAATGCTGCACTGAACATGAGGGTGCAGATACCTTTTTGAATTAGTGTTGGGTGTTGTTTTGTTTTGTTTTGGTTTGGTTTGTTTTTTTGTATAAATACTCAGAAGTGGAATTACTGGATACTGTAGATAAAACAACCACCTTTCCCAGTCTTGATGAAGTGGCTTGGTGTAGGATGTGAGCCTTGTCATTCTACCCTGCTGTAGCTCTTGGTTGTTCTCAAACCTTTATGCTTGTCCAAGCAGTCTATTACATTTTTAATAGCTCCCAGTCACTGAGGAAGTGTCAGTGTCCCAAAGGGGTGGATCTCAGGGTGACTGGAAGCCAGACCCTCAGGCATCAGCTTTTAAAAGTATTCAGATTTGTACAGACCTGTGGGACTAAAAGTGTAAGCCCTGCTGTGTCCCACAGAGCCAGGCAATCTAGAGGTGTCCCCTGGGCAGCAGTGATAGAAATCAGGACTTGTATACTTTTGATGTAGCTGGAAGGAAGGGTAATTGAGGCAGAGGAGGAGTGAGGAGGAGAATTAGGTTTGATAAATTATGCTGGTAAGGGAGGTTGAAGGGCTTGCACTGTATCCTGTACTAAGGAGTTTGGGCTGTAATGTAACGTAATGTAGGCAGTCCTGTAATGTAGGCTGTAGGGAATACTCAGGTAAGGTTAGATTTACCAGTGTGGAAACAGAAAAATTGGAGTTTATTCAAAGGTTAGGATCAAAAAGGCAAAAATCAGGTATAGTGTGTATTACTCTTAAAATCCCTCAAGAGAACCACACATGATCTCTGAGTAAATCTGAAACAGCCCGTTTTTCTTCAGTGTAGGAACAGAACATTATTTTCCTTGATGAGCACCAGATAAAGTGGCTGATTTACAAGTAGAGGCCATGTTGTACAAAAAACCCACTATAGCTTTAAGTAAAGAATTAGTGTGGAGTAGAGGCTCACACCAAGAGAGACTCATTAAGGGAACATGCTTGCTTTAGGCTTTTGCTCAGAGTGGAAAGGTAGGAATCAAGTCTTTGCTGATTACACACCCTTTGTCCCCCACCCCCACCCCAATAGGAATATAGCTGAATTAAAGAACCTTAAATGTCAGTTTTAACAAGAAAACTATAACTATCTTTGATTCCGTTACACAGGTTACATGCTGTGATTATGTTTCCTAACGGCTAAGTACCACGATCTTGAGTTTAACATAATTTTTTTAATTACCATACTTTTCCAGTTTCTAACAATGAGGAATAGTTAACAAGTGTGAATTCAGCCTGCTGGCCCTGTATAGTCTGGGAATCTACAAACAGCTAGTTGAATGAGAGTTTCATTCCAGGTATTTTAAGATCTAATCTTGACAAAAATGAACCAAGTTTTTAAAATCTGAAGAGAATGGGGAAACATGTATTTTTATTATTTAAATTTATGTATTGTGGTAAAATATATATAACATAAAATTTGCCATCTTAACTATTTTTGAGTGTACAATTCAGTGGCAATTATATTCACAATGTTGTACAACCACTATCTTTTTCCAAAAATTTTCATCACCCCAATTAGAAACTTAATACCCATTAAGCAATAACTCCCATCCCCCTCCAACCCCTGGTAACCTCTAACTTACTTTCTGTTTCTATAAATTTACCTGTTCTAGATTTGTCGTTTAAGTGAGATCATAAAGCAGTTGCCCTTTTTGTGTCTGGCTTATTTCACTTAGCATAAGGTTTTCAGTGTTGTAGTTTCATGTTGGAGTCTGTGTCAGAGCTTCATCCCTTTTTATGTCTGAATAATATTCTATTGTGTGTGTGTGTATATAGATAGATTGGACATCTTTTTAACATTTTATTGGCTATTTGTATTTCATATGTCAATTTTCTGTTCTTGTTTTGGCTATTTTTCTATTGGGATTTTTTTCTTTTTCCTACTTATTTTTATGAGATCTACTTTATTAATACCAATCTTTTGTCTTTTCTGTGTTACAATTATTTTCTTTCTGCCTGCCACTTGTCTTCTAATTATTCATTCATTGTACTTTTCCTATATATAAATTTACCATTTTTATGAGATCATGTCTTTATGGCTTCTGATTTTCGTGTCATGTTTAGAATGGCCTTCTTACACCAAGATTTATGATCTGCTCATGTTTTC